TCAAAGAAGTTAGAAAGGGTGCAAGGCTCCAGGATACAACGTGTTGTAAATGAATGGTGTGTTGGAGCAGGTATAGTTGCTAGATATTTCCCACCTATGTCACTAACAAGGTTGCATTTGGCTTTCTTCCATAGTTGAGAGTTTGATGATTACTCCCTTCTTGCCTGTTGTAGCATTTGGACGACCATTACCAAAATTAACTCCACAGTAAGTATAAAGGGCTCTTTTCCCCTTCGTTCTCAGATAGCCTGCACTTCACCTTCCTTTCAAACTTCATGAAAGCCTAGATACAAGGTGGAACAGGTGGCTTAGGGATAGCCATGGTTCTTTGACAGAAGTGAGGCTACCTGGGCAACTAGATTTGTAGTGATAAGATTCCCAAGCCAGGAATTAGAATTGCTTGAGTTAGAAATAGATAATTCAGTCACTTTAATAGTGCGCTATTGCTCTGGCTTTGAGGTGGGAAAGACATTCCAGGCTAGGGACCTGGGAGTCAGGGTTAGGAATGGTGAGGAGCATAGTATCTTTTCTGGAGTTATTCTCATGTCCACACTCCATTCCTGTTAGTCTTGGAAGTTGATTTCCATATCTTTTTTTGCCAGGAATTTTGAGCTGCCCTGGTTGGATGAGCGTAGCCGATGCAGGTTGGAGATCCAGAAGAAGCAAACACCTCACCGGACGTGTAGGAAATAGCTGTGCTGGCAAGAACTTTCTGTCTTCAGATAGTTGTAGCATGCCATTCCCAGAGAGTGGCAGAGACCTGTATATGTGACCTATGTCCTCATGTATGTTGTTATTCGATGATAATGCCCTTTCATACTCCCTTGATCTTGGTTTTGTTTTCATCACTCATTTCACAAAAACTCTTTCATTGGGCTAATTGTGAATTATAGAGGGTGACTGGGATATCTTTTCCCCTTTTGGGGAAATGAGCTCTCAAGCTAAATCTCTAGGATGGCAGATTTGGAAGCTTCAGGGGTCTGCTTCTATACATTTGTCTATGTTAAAGGGGTAAAAGGGTTCTTTCATTAAACTCATGGAAGATAAAGCAACCCCTGCCTTTAGAGCTGTGCCTGCATGGCACTCTTCTCACCTTGGTGTACTCTTCCATATAGTTTAAGTATAGTGGTTTTTACTCTTAACAAAAATCTTACCACGAGCTTAAGGTCCATATGAGGAATAGCAAGTGAAGTGATGAAGCAAGCATCTTCACAGGATAGAAAAGAAGAGATCAGGGAGTTGGTAGATAAATGTCTGAAGAAAAGACAATTGTTCTCTTATAACTATTCTGTGATATAGCCATATGGGAAGGGATGTTTGGCTGTAATTGTTTTCTTAGTTAATGGGTAAATTAATTTCTTCCCTCATCCCCTCAAAAAATAAAATATTTGGACAAGAGAATGGGGATGGTTAGTTTTGGACAAGTTATGGCTCTAAAAAGAAGCAGTTGGCATTTGGGGATGGCATGTCAGAACCTGTATAGATGTCCTTGTGTCACATCACTTCCAAGGTATTCCTTAGTTGGGCTTTATCCTTTTAGCTGAGCTCTTGGTGGTGGGATAGAGATTTAAGGATGGTAAGGGTGTATGTGGAAATATGTGCTTTCTTTGGCTGGCAAATGTCTGCATCTTGAAACCAACAGATGTACCTAATGAGCTTCTCCATTCACTTTGTAAAAATAGATTTGTATGTGTACCATCCTGGTTCTCTCCCCCCACCCCCCCACCCTCCACCCCCTTTTTGTTAAAAAAAATGTCAGGACAGCACTCTAGGCCACTTTGGTCTCAGTGTAAGATCCCTGTAACTATCTGGAAGGAAAACAGAGCCAAGACCTCTGGTCTTAAATATATAGGAATTGCCTTTCTTTAGTCTTCAGGACTATTGTGTGAAAACAAGTAGGGGTCTAATCTCCTAGAAGGTAGGGGCTTTTATCCTTGAAGAGACTATGTCCCCAGATTTATTAGCACTTTTAGAGGAGAAGCCAAGGTATGTAGAGTGTGTGGCCGGCCCATCAGTGGAGCATGAGAGAATGGGATACCATTGTGGGAAGAAAAGAAAAGTTCCTCAGGGGCCTCCCACTGCTAAAGCTTTTTGTGAGATGTTGATCTGTGCTCCCTGGGTTTGACTTTTAAAGGAATTATTCCGGCAGCACATGTAGTATTCTTGGATGATCTTGCTGCTCTTATTTCTCCTTTTTGTGTGTGTGTGTGTGTGGCTATGGGTTTTCATTTGTAACTCCATCTGCTTAGGAGGAGTGGGCTCTCCACAAGGGAACCTGCTGTGAACTTCATTGCAGCAAGAATGTAGAGAGAAATAGGACTTATTCCACTAGGGGCTCTCATCTCACACCTTAAGGAGTGGAAGATTTCTAGAAAAACTGGGCCAGATTTTCTTTGTTCTCCATCATTTTAATATGGCAAGCTGTTTGGCTTTCCTACTCTGACCTATGTTATTTTTTTTTATAATGTACCCAAGAAAAAAAAAGACCAATCAGTGTCTCTTTACTTTGTTCCTTGATTCCTCTCAGTTTCTTCTTGATTTTCAGCATTTGTTGGATTCCTAATTTGGATATGGGTTAGCAAATTAATCTTTTGTTTGTGCCCTACCCAGGGGACTCCCCAGATTCTGAATTTGAGCTAGACTAAGAGGAATCCATGAGGTGCTATCTGGCCAGACTTAAGTGGATTCTTTTCCTTGGTTCTCCCTCTACCTAGGACCTCTTATTTTATTTTCCCCTCTACTAGATCAATTCTCCTTTGACTTGGATATGTAGAGGTTTGTTGAGAAGGAGGTTGGAGAGTAGATTAGCAAAGTTTCAAGAGCGAAATTACAGTGTGTTAGAGTGTGGGGGGAAAATTACTTATTTTTT